CTCATTCCTAACCTTGTCCATCTGAGTCACACCACACATCCATCTCAGCATTCGCATTTCGGCTACGCTCAGGCGGCTCTCATCCGTTCTCTTAATGGGCCAACTTTTAGAACCATACAGGACGGCAGGGGAGATATATTTGTATATATTTTAATAGATAAATACAAAAATGATAATAGTGTCCTGTTCTCTGTTAGATTGTGTTAATTAAGGTTTAACTTTTTACGTCCAACACATTATTAGTTGTAGAAACGAAAGGAATCCTCAGATTGTTTGTCTATTACAATAGCATAGTCAAATTACAGCAAACTGGTTGCGTAATATATGAACGACCCTCAGGATAAATTTTAAATTATCTATGTAGTTACGATTTAAGATAAAATCTAATAAAATCTTTATTTAATTTACATGCGTCATTTATGATATTTAAATATTAGATATAATATAATGTATTTGAGTGGTCTGACGTTTCGACCTGAAGACCAATTCTCGTAATAAAAGTTCGATCACAATTCAGTTCCGATCAACTTTCGATCTCACAACGGTCATAAAAGGTATTTTTGTATTAAGATTACCGATTAAATTTTCGATTACAATACGATATAATCACATTACAGTCAACGTTGAATGTTTAATACTTTACTAAAAAAATACCTTTTATGACAGTTGTGAGATCGAAAGTTGATCGGAACAGAATTGAGACCGAACTTTGATTACGAGAGTTGACCTTGTGGTTGCACTTGCTGTGGTGACCACGGTCAGTTAAGCATGTAATACGTAATGTGGTTAATTATTAATGTATAATTATATAAACAATTTCTTTAGTGCCAATAGCGCGTTTCTATATGTAATTTAATTCGCGTATAATGTATTTAGCGATAACGAAATTATATTTACAGTACCCCTCCATTTTCTGACACATATGGTTACAAGGGCGGATCTATTCATGGGGGTCATGAAGGGTCAGATCACTTCTGAGTCATGGTTGATAATTTTTATAGTTGCATTGCTAAATTAAATACAATAAATATGTATTTAGGCATTGTAAGAGTAGGAGAGGGAAGCCGTTGCTAAGCCATTCTTTCATTGCATGTCACGATTGAATGAAGTTACTACAGCTCTCTACTAGCTACCCTCTTCCCTCTAAATCGTGGTAGGTATTTTGAAAGTGGTAAAGCATGTGTCTCCGAGTTGCAGTTATCAATGGACGGCGGTGGTCACTTACTATCAGGTGACATAGCAGGGCCTCAATTCTGCTATTTTAAACGTACATGTCACTGTCATTCCATTGACGCGCTATTGAGACGCCATTGACATCGGTCAAAATATCAGTATTCTACTACATAAATTCAGTGTCAATAGACTGTCGATGTAGTGACAACGGCTCATCAAAGGTGATATCAACAACAATGCCATATCTGGCAAATGAAATTTATCATTTTCTTACAAATTTAAAATGTACGGTTTACCGGTAGAATATTATTATTGACAAGTCATCTGTAGGCCATTTTGGTCTTACATACTTAGTAGAATACTAAAAACTATTCCGTCGACAGTCTATTGATACAATATCAAAATAGCAGAATTGGGGCCTGTACGTTTACACCTTAAACTATACAAAAAGAGGATTCTATGTCATTATATCTATATGATGCACCAAATACTTTATTATATGGGTCCTTCTCCTGAGTGCTGAATTGGAATAAAAATGACTCCCTGAGTTAAACCTGGACCCGCCCCTGTATACATATAGTTACATATTGCACACACGTTGGTTTTTAACGGAGCATCTAAAAATAACTCTATGGCTATCCTATTATATATTTAAAGCTGTTTGAGTTGAACGGAAACATGCTTTTTTTTTACTTAACCTGGAGTTATTAAGTGTTTGAGACCCATCCTATGTTATCATGTAAGTATAGACTATATAAAATAACTGACGAATGTCAGGTATTATAAGACGGCCCAAGAAAGGAATTTAATCTTTTTAGGGTTTTTGTATGTATGTGTTTCTTGATTTCAATACAACTTTTACATTTTTAATCAGATTTGGATGTGTTGAACAGGTTCGGTATCTTTGGAATCCTTACATCATCCTAGCTGTATAACTTTGAAAAAAAAAGACAAATATAGTGGCGTCATTTAGAAATGTAAAAAAACTATCTTCAAGTTATGGCCTAGTAGTGAGGTTTTTGTTTTCACTTTTTTATTTACATATAATATAATATAATTTAATATAAAATGGAATATATTAATTTCTATACAATTGCCGAGGGTTGTAATATCTACCTATATGATTATGAGTATCGCATATTTAAATCCACACAAAACTTACGAGTTTGCAGATACCAGGATAGCATACTGTATAATATTCTAACTTGTTATATTTCGTCTTCCATAAAATATAACTTTTATTAACTAACGGGCATTAACGTGACGCTAATAAATAGCTTTGAATTGTAGACCACAGCCGGTACAATCCTGTCAAACTATCAATAGTTGTAAAAACCACCTCGGTGTTCCTCTCATGGCAATAGCCGGGGGAGCGAGAATAGCGACTGAATTCTTCCGTCACCAGGGTTGTACTGGCTTTGGTCACGGATGGACTAGCGCCGCGGCGGTCCATAGTAACTTGTAATTCCCGTTTATTAGTATAATTTCGAAATGTATATCTACACTAACACTAAACTCAATACTAATTACTGCGATTACATATGATATATAACAAGCATATGTGTGTTCTTAGCTATACTAGTATATAATTATATTTTAATAGTAAGACATCTTGAACGAGGCGCAAGTTTCGAGGCATGTAAATTTTAGTTCGTTTTGAGTTGTATTGCTTAGTTTTATAGTTAATTTATTGCTTTAATTATCTAATAATCTTCTAGCTGGCTAACATTTTTAAATGAACTAGTTTGTTCTACACAAACATTCCTATAGTATTATTATTATTCGATTTATATTTAGTTGATTTTTCATGTATCTAAACTTTTATTTCAGTACAAAGCTGTTTCATTACTACTGTACTGTCTACAGCTGCCTTTGATATCCTATTTACATATCTGAAGGCGAATTTTCGTGATAAAAGTTCGGTCTAATTCAATTCTGATCAACTTTCGATCTCATAACCGTAATTCTAGATATTTTCGTAGTGAAGTATTAAACATCCTACACTGACCGTAATGTGATTATGTCCTATTGTAACCGAAATTTAATCGGTAATCTGCTATTCTTAGTAATACTTTACTACTACGAAAATACCTTTTATGACCGTTTTCAGATCGAAAGTTGATCGGAACTAAATTATGACCGACTGATGTTAATTAAACAAGCTAATTTTAACTTCAAATACTGCAATTAGAGTAATTGATAAATATGTAATTTTGTATTACATGCAATCCATAGGATTATTCTAAATTATTGCAATAATTTTATCGTATATGCTGACTACTAACAGTAAGGCAGGCAGGCGGTGTACTCGTTTCATTTTATTTTTTTTATTTAAAACCTATCTTTTTTATTAAAGCGGCACAGACAACAATAGCTAAATTGCATTAAAAACTTAGATGTTTTTAAAGTCTGACCTTACCATAAAAAATATGTTTTAATTTAATAAACTATATATTAGAATAATTTATTTAATAATTTAGTGTTGCCAAGTGACAATATGGTTGCAAAATTTCGTAATGTTTTTTCAGGCGTAATAAAGTAACAAACAAATAATAAACTAATTTTCTTATTTTAATGTTATGTAGTTATGATTGGCGAGGGTGCGAAGACCCCAGTTTCTAACTTCTAGTAATATGTGACAATACATATTTAATACAAGTTATTTATGACGATTACACAATATTAGGTAGTAGTAGGCCAAAACCTCCTTTCTAAGGCGAGGCTTATGTCCAGCAGTGGACTGTTATAGGCTGTTGATGATGATACAATATTAATAATACAAATCACTAGCCTACATGGCTTTAGCGTGCCGCCATAATAATAAAACATTATAAAATATCTATAAAAAGGCCTATATATTGAGATGTAATTATTACATATTGTGGACCTTAATTATATAAAGATGTTTATATTACTTATAATTATATTAATCTATTGCTTGTTAAATATCGATGCATATACTTATAAAAAGTAAGAAGAATATAAAATGTATAAAAAGTTACGTTCAATATAATAACATTTAACAATTTCGTGATTAGAATATCAAGGAAAGTATATATACTACTTCACACATTCAGATGAGGAGTGGGTCTTCAAAATACCATGCTTGGTCAATGAGACCGAGGGAGGGCTTAGATATTCGTCATCTAATCAATATAATTTTTTTAACTGGGGGAGTAGGAGACTAGGCATATACTATGGGCGGTAACGGAGGGGATGAAAGGGGGAGTAAGGAGCTGGGGTGTATTCCCTCAGCTGACTCAATATTCTTCTTCAATATTCAACTAGACAGGATACTATTATGTTGTTTTACGACGAAATACCTATATTTAATTATAAAAATGTAATTATACCAACGAAATATCGGTAGAATTATTCAGATAAAATGTCTTTAATGACAATATACGAGAGAATTAACAACTTATAAGTAATACGCTTAACTAAGTGCTAGAGTAATATATATCTTCGATATATTAATACGTGAAGAAGAATCCTGGGGTATATTTTTGTTTAAAAGGGGTATATACCCGTTTTATTTATAGCCCATAGAAGCATTTCATATTTAGAAAGTCTTTTGTAGAAAAAATGCGCAAAGCTAAAATGTTTTAAATAAAATGTTCTATAGGTTGAATACTATGTAATAAAAACGGCAACATAAAACTATACAGGTCCAGTATATAACTTTGATCCGTCATGGTACAAAAGTCTACCATCATCATCAGGCTATCGCAGTCCACTGCTGGACATAGGCCTCTCCCATTGCACGCCACTTAGATCGATTTTGGGCTTCTCGCATCCAGCTCCTGCCAGCCATCTTGCGCAAATCGTCACTCCACCTGGCCTGTGGGCTTCCTACACTGCGTTTACCGAGACGCGGTCTCCACACAAGAACTCGTTTACCCCAACAAGAGGCCTATGTCCAGCAGTGGACTAGTATAGGCTGTTGATGAGATCGATTTTGGGCTTCTCGCGTCCAGCTCCTGCCAGCCATCTTGCGCAAATCGTCACTCCACCTGGCCTGTGGGCGTCCTACACTGCGTTTACCGAGACGCGGTCTCAACACAAGAACTCGTTTACCCCAACAAGAGGCCTATGTCCAGCAGTGGACTGCGATAGGCTGATGATTTGATTCAATTGATGGAATAAAAGATGTGTTTTACATCAACTGTTGTTTTGATCATCAACTCCCAATACACAATTGAAATATTATGATCAATCGAACTTCGAAAGATCGAACTTTACTTTCGAAGTTCGTTTGATCATATATTACTGATACATAAATGTTGTCTTACATAACTATAAAATAATAATTCGAAAGACTGTCCGTGGAGCTTTTTGTTGTTGTTTTACTTCTGACATTTTAAAAATACCTATAATTTATATAACTGATATAAATTACTGTTAATTAATTACTAATATATGTAGAATGAATGTATATACCTAATGTATACACCTAATATATACACCTCGATATTGCTGGAATATGTAATTTTAAAAACCGGACCTAGAGATACAGTGAACTTGTCCTCATAGTATACACTATGGCATTATTCCTTTAATTTTTTTTCAGTTTCTAAGTTAAATCACTATCATTATATTTATATTATATTCCTTAACTCTATAGATATCACTAATGTAAGTAGTAATAATAATGATTTATGACTGGCCTCTTAGTCTAGTGATTTATGATCCTGACTGCTGAGTCCGAGCTCCTGGGTTTGATTCCCACAAATTACAAAAAATTGTGTCAAAAGTGAAATGATTTGTTCTGTATTTGACATAAAATTATAGTTTTACTGGGTATAGCTATAAACATTTTCTTGTTTTATTGAAAATATTCTTTTTATTCTAAATATTAAGAGTTTTGTATTAATACAAAGAATATACAAAAAATCCAGAAGGACGCTGACTTCTGCAATACATGTTGTTCTAAATAACTACAGACGTTGACAGGAGTAAGGGAAATGGTGAATTTGTGTGGACGTATTTGTAATGTCAATGCTATGTTAGGAGCTCTGACTTCAAGCATAGAGTCAGGTCGAGATACAGGTTTCTTGACCTGAAGGCCAATTCTCGTAATAAAAGTTCGGTCACAATTCAGTTCCGATCTCACAACTTTTATGAAAGTTATTTTCAGGTTGGCTGTGATGTGATTATATCGTATTGTAAACGAAAAATGAATCGGTAATCTGCTACTTTACTTTTTTACTACGTAAATACCTTTTATGACAGTTGTGAGATCGAGCTTTTTTTTTTTTAAAAGACAACTCCTGCATTAGGAATATATCCTGTGTCGCGGGGGACTTTACAAACATACATGAAACGGGCACAAAGAACAACCAGACTCAGAACAACAATTTGTGGACCACATAAAGTGTCGTACCATGTGGGGTTTGAACCCACAACACTCGGCTTAGTAGGAAGCGGCGTGGCGACCGCATAAACCACTACGCCATCCGTGCAGTCAGTTGATCGGAACTGAATTGTGACCGAACTTTCATTACGAGAATTGGCCTTCTGCTCGAGTTATTACTTACATTCTCGAATTCATCCTTATCAGCAATATCGTTTTCTTCTTAGGGTAAGATTTTTTATTTACATTGCCCTGTTAATACCCTCCCAATTTATCCATCTTATCCAAAATTCCCCTAGGGAAGATTATTGCCCCTACTTCATAGGTAAGTCTGTAGGGCCAGGAGTTAAACTACATATGTATTACGATTCTGCCTACCCCTACGAGAATACAAGCGTCTAGAAAGAAACATGGGTATACACACGTATACATTATAACCAATCGAGAGTCGGTAGTGCACTGAGATGGATTCGAACCCGCAAATATTACGCCTGAGCCATTACACTACCGCTGCTTAACGTTATTGACACAACAATTACAAGTGTAAGCCTATAGAGGTATATAGTTTTGGCGTATAATAACTTTGTCAGGTAGGAAGGCTTTGTATATAACTTACATAGGTAGTTAGCGTATACTAATTCAGCATGGTGTGTCTGTCGTATATATTGCGGCGTTGTTCGCGAACTTGGCGCTTCCACCTGTCCTGCTGATGGGTGACGCGGTTCAGCACGTTACCGCGGGCGCCGAGCTGCTGAGACGGGCCACCGAGCGTACTCTCATCCTGGAATTAGAAAAAAAAAATTCTTCATCACCAGCCTTTGATAGTCCACTGCTAGACATGGGCCTCTTCTTAGAAAGGTTTTAGCATACTATACCACGCCAGACGGGTTGGTATAAGGGTTGTGTCAAGTTTTCTTTCTTTGTGCAGTGCTGATGTCCTGCGTAGTTTGCTCCATTAGTCAGCTCTTACGACACCCACGGGATGAAAAGGGGTGGTGATACGTACTCTTAATCCGTCACCACACGGGTGGTACAACAACTCCATCTTTTTTCAAACTAAGCAGAGCTTGTACTATGAAAGATAGATTGACTGATAGAATACTTATATAGTGTTTTTATTTGTAAATACATACATATTATAGATAGAAAGCGCCCAAACTCTGAAACAAATATTTGCAGATCATACAAACATTGGGTCCGAACTGGGAATTGAACCCTAGACCTCAGAATAGCAGTCGCATACGCTACCACTGCACCATCGAGGCAGTCGCGTAATAATATATGAATATCATTCTCGGTTGGTTTGTTTTAATCTTCAGCTAATTACGGAAATTTTTATAATGTTTAATTAGACCATACAGTCTATTGTTTTAATTACGTTACACTTAAGTGAAACGTACTTTCATAATAAAGTAGATATTAAAATAACGACAGAATTGTTTGAAATTAAATTAGTGTATTTACATACCTATATTAAAGGACGCACTTTTTTGAATTTTATATCTTTTTATTACGATAAATAATATATATTAAATATATATATTATTTTTGTTACTATATGTATAGGTACTATTTTAGACAAATATAAGGTGCTTGTGGTTACTGTAATGTATTTTTTTTAATAAAAGGGTTATTTAAACCTAATATTTCATAAAAAAAGAGAGGATATCCTAATCCTGACATGTAATATATTATTCTAGATGAAAAAGTGACTTCGTCTGTTGTCTAGTCTTACATTCTAACTACTCAACCGATTCTCATGAAATTGAACATACATCTACACACAGGTCACAGATACAGAAAAGGATTTAAGATATTTTTGATATGAAAAATCTATCTTTACCGAGATTACTCTTTCTCTTTCTATATCTCTTAACTGAGAAAATATCGTCATGATCGTAGAATAATGACAGTTTTGAAAAAAATACGCAATACCATATTTGGATACTAAATTGTTTAAATATTATTACTACCTTTAAAAAAAACAGGTCAGGTAGGAGTCGAACTCGTGCGCCGAGGGTTCCGTACCTGCCTAGATTTTACGTAATTTTCGCGAAAAGTTGTAAGTACCAAAATTTATCTTAATATTCAATTATTTTTTTGTTGGTTTATTACTTTGAAACTTTTATTACAAGAATTGACCTTCTGATGGTAAGTGACTATTGCCACCCGTGGAAACCCATAACTCAAGAGTCACAGTGAGTCTCCTCTTGAGTCCTACCCCCAGAATCAGGGAGAGGATAGGCTTGGGCGTTTTTTTTTTATGGAACTAATCCCTTCCAAACGCCTTCCACTATAACTACACTACGAACACACCGAATTATGACACTCGGGAGTCCCAGGCAAAAAAAAACAAATGTCTTGGAACCCGCAACGAAATTAATTAGAAGAAAATTGGAGGAGTTGGAAATACAGTAAATCCACTTCCCTCCCTAGGAAAGCGGGAGACAAAATGAAGTAAAATAGGCATACACCCTTTTCCTGGCATCACTTCTCTTTCCCACGTTAAAAAAACAGTGACACTCCGGCAGTGTCGACAGAAGTGAAAACTTGTATACAGAGGTGTCGGTAATGGTAACACGGTTTTTTCCCGTCTCAAAAATACATTCTTTTGTTTGTTGTTCAAAAATTCCCAACGCAACTAAGAATCACTTCAATATGCCTTCTAACAATGTTTACGCGAAACTCAGTCCAGTGTTTAAAGCGTGAAGTCAAGAAAACTGACGGTGGTATTAATGATATTAATCAAGTTTGGTCATACTTACATCTTCATTGGTGTGCTCTTGGTAGGAGGCCTTCGCACGCTTGTTGATCAGAGGGTCCAGGCAGATCAGGAAGCCCATGTAGACCACCAGGAGCATTATCACCCAGATAACTATGATCACCACTACCTGTAATTAAATTAACAAATCAATTCATTATTTTGTTTTTTTTTTATATGTATAGATTACAAAAATTCTACATAGGCTGTCAACTTATTTAGTCAAAGCGAAAAATCCATTAAAAAAATGAGAGGTTATCTCTGCAATTTTTTTTTAAGAGGGGTAAGGGGCAATTGAGCAAGACACGTCATTTGATGGACAGTGACCACAGCTGCTAATTAAAGCCTGCAACACAGGAGCCACAAGGGCGTTGCTAGGTTTGAAGGTCGTATCGGTCGCAAGTGTGGGAATAATAATAATAATATTCTACCACATACACACAACGCCATCTAGTCCCAAACTAAGCAGAGCTTGTACTATGGGTACTAGACAACTGATATAAATACATATATACTTTCTTTTTTGTAAATACATACCTACATATTATACATAGAAACACCCAGACCAAATCAAACATCAAATGTTCATGCACACAAATGTTTGACTTGAGCGGGAATCGAACCCGCGACCTTTGGAATAGCAGTCCGTTACACAAACCACTACGCCATCCAGTCGTCGAATAAATAAACACAATTTATATTGTAGTCTGTCCAATAGTATTATCTGTATTCTTCATTTTTTAATTTGCCACCGTTAAGGGTGGTATATTTTCTTTTTGTTCATGGAAGATTGGGCAAATCAGCAAGTGGGCCACCTGATGGAAAGTGACTACCGCCGCCCATGAACACCTGCAACTGAGGAGTCACAAGGGCGCCGCCGGTCTTTAAGGCAGGAATACGCTCTTTTCTTGGAGGTCGTGTCGGCTTGGAAATACCGCAGACGATAATTTGTTCCACAGATTGGTTGAGGGGAAGTATCTTTTATAAATAATAATAGATCGGTTTATAGATGACGGAGTTCCGAGGTAACGAATGTAACCAAAAGACACCTTTTTCTGAAGTCAGTTAAAATAGATCATGGTCTAAACCAGTACTTTTAAAACGTATGTTTTTGAAAAAACATCTGTTAAGAGTTTATAGGGATTTCATTTGTAGAATATATTTGAACACCGTATGCCCGCTTTGAGGCTGACACACCTTGCCCTTACCATAAGAGGTGACAACATAAATTAAGCTCTAAGATAAATCACCTTGATAATTGTGGTGTTCCTATTCTCGTACTTGCATTCACATCGCGGACAAAACTCTTGCTGTCTGTCTTTGAGTTGGTCAGTCATGAAGGGAAGGATTACCACCTCGCAGTTGCTGTTGAGAATATTACAAAAAAATGTTACTAACTGTAAATAATATAAGTATCAAAATGGAGTACATTTCTATGATAGTTAGGCCTTTATTGAACCCAAAATTTTCTATAAAAACTTAAGCGTCATTAAAAGTTAACAGCTAAAACAATTGCATTGCATTTGGTTATGTCACGAGCCTCGCGAGCCGTTTTGTCAAACGTCAGTGTAAACTGTGAGTTACATACAGGTTATGTAAAAACAAATGTGGTCACGGTTAATAAAGTGCTGGGTACAATTAGCGACATGACAGTATTCCAGTATTTTCCAATTAATTTTGACATATTTATTTTTGATAAATTTGGTATTTAGCTTTTCATAATATATGGCTAGTGCAACATGTTAATTGAAATAATAGGTGTTAAAGTATGCACCAGGGACTTCCTTTCTAGGGTATACCTGGTTCCCCGGCTATTAGTACCCGAGACGGCGTGCGGTTTTAGTCGGTTCGAGTCCGACATGCCACCGATATCCGATATCCGGTGGTATCCGAGGGGATTCCCGCACGGAAAAAAAAAAGGTGTTAAAGTATGAAATTTCCGTTGTATAGTAATAGATACCTTGAATGGACAAAAAAAGCATGGTGTAAGATTTTCGAGTGAAACATTCACGTGATACTTATGAGGTTCTTTATTGTTTTTTTTTTTACTCAGCTTAGACGTGAAAGATGGATACTTTGAAAATCAGAGGCATTTTTGAATACGAGTTCCGACGCGGAACTAACGCGGCTCGCAATATCAACGCTGCGTTTTTAGTTTAAACGCTTTCGTAATGGAAACTTCGACTTGAAGAACGAACCACGTGGATGGTGGAAACCGATCCGAGTCAAACTACCAATGAATTAGCGGTATGGTTTAACGTTATACTATAATATTGACTCATTTGAAAATATGAAAAATGGGTTCCTCGTGATTTCACTGATATACGTGTTAAAATTTGTGTAGAATTGTTGAATCGAAACAGAAATGAAGGAATTTTGAATCGAATTGTAACTTGTGACGTAAAGTGATGAGTGAGAAATAAATAGATAATGAGGGTATTTATTTTGATTGAATAACTATGTTACATGTTAGAAAAAAACGAGTTTAAATTTTTCGCCGAAAATTGCCAATTTCATTCTTTAACTCTTAATATGTAGGTATGTTTATTCAATACAAGCTGCCCGGACAGACTACGTTCTGTAAAGAGTTTTGGCCTGTCGCACTCTAATAGGATAAATAACAAAACGTATTTGAGTGATTATTTTTCTTTAAACTTTATTTTAAACAGGCATAGATTAATATCCATACAGCCTTATCAACATCCCTGGCAATTTTTACATTTTTTTCTCTTCATGAGAACCTATTTTCGTTAAGGCACAAAAGCCTCATTAAAAATATAAAAAAAATAAGTCTAATTGTTATTGAATTTTGCGCTCAGCAACACATTTAGCGATTCATTTTTATTTATATTACTTATGATTTTAGCGGTTAGTTCTTGCGGTGCTTTTTTTTAAGGTCGGTAACACAAAGGTGAGGCCTATGTTCAGCAGTGGACTATTAAAAGATGATGATGATGATTGATGAACACGCAAATGTTACCCTTAATGTTGCAAAGAAATATGGCATGTTACAGTATCAGCTTAGCCATTTTTTGTTTTCTGCTTAGCTTATGTAATTTTGATTTGCAAAACTTCAATGTGGGCAACAGTGCATTAAATACAACACGCAGCAATATAAATAGTTTCCGCAGTAGCATCTTTATAAAGATAACTTATTGTGGTGAAGTTTAGTTATGGTCAGACCCAAAAAAGAAGTTGATGTGAACAAAATTATAGTGACCTAACACACTATTTACAGCAACTTGCCAATTTCACACATTCTGTACACACGTTTTATATAATTATCAAACAAACACATTTACGAAGTCGATTTAAAAACTTAGGGGTTTTATGACTGAAAAAGTAATTTTAAATAAATTATTCATTATGTGGCACTTTGTTCACATTTACTTCTTTTTGGGGGTGACTGTACTGGTAGTGGTTGTGGTAACAATGGTAGGTAACAATACAATTTTTAAACAGTACATGAGGCAAAGTTAAATATACAGTAAGACATTGTACCTGTATTATTTGAATAAGCCGTCAAAGCATAATGAATAACAAAAATAATGAAAATTAAACAAATCATTAGTCACAGGGGTAAAAGGTAGGTAGGGTAGTGCTTTGTCAAACATTTTGAAGCCTATGTAAGCAAACTCATCTCACAAATGGCATAGCAAAACCCTTTGAAGAAAACTAGTATCCACATTAGAAGGTCATAGCATAATAATAATAATAACATAAAAAAAATTAAGTTTCCTTGGATCAATTTATTTCGAATGACATGCCAATAGTGAATAAGAAGGTCCGTAATAAACAAAAGTTAAAACAAATCATTTGTTGCGTTTTCATTTTAAACTTAAATACGAATTTGCCTAATCAAACATAAACATAATACTTACAATTTCTATCAAGTCCCAAATAATGATACATTCGCTAAACAAATTAAAACATGTAAAATAAACAAAGCAAGCATTCAGTATAAGCCCAGCGGGTAGAAATACTTTTTAACTACTACGCAAGAACAAATAATTGATAAAATATTGGTAATCAGGGATAGACAAAAATTAATAACAAAAGAAATCTACTCGCAACATCCAATGGCATTTAAAAAAGAATAAAAAGTAAAAAACTAGAATACATAAACCACTTAAGATGCTTTTAATTAATAAGCAGAATTCATAAGTAGCAGCACCTTTTTTTTTTTTTTTTTTTTTTTTCCGTGCGGAAATCCCCTCGGATACCACCTGTCGGTGGCATGTCGGACGAGGTAGGTGCGAGTACTAAAATATAATTCGATTTATAAATTTTTTAATACTGAAATAATTTCTGACTGTCTAGAGTATATTGTTTTAAAAAAATAACATATTGATAAAATTAATTTCCAGATTGCAAATGGAACAGTATAGTAATTTAAAAGCTTACCATTTATTGGGTGGCACATTAGCAGATTTCATGAAAGGACTCCGGTCAGCTCCAGCGGTGTCATTGAGAACGGCAGCAGGGCTCGGACACACGCATTTGCAGCGGTTGTCTTCATAGGAATGGGCCTGCTAAGCAAGTGATTATTTCAATCTGTGTTAGGTCACATATAAGACTATTTATTAAATTTTGTTACAAGTAAGTTATTTTTAAGGTATGCCAGTAGTATGCCTAAGTAGCAAGGGCTATTGGAGCTCAGGTCAGTTGATTGGTACAATCACCTGATCAGCCTATGCACATTTGTAGACCATAATATGGATTAATTAAATTAAAGGATGAGCTGCGTGATTAAAATATATTATATATTTAATACTTAACAGCCCTTATAAAATTATGTGTTTAAGACTAAAATATTTATATCAATAATTACTGACCTGCCAAACATTTTTCTGCTGTATGCAAAAAATTTGTTTTTACAAAAATACTACTTAAAATTTCAATAAAAAAATACAGGGGTGGGAATAGTAGGGTGAAAAATTCTTGACAACCTATCGAAAATGAAAAAAAAGTGCAACCGGAAACATCTTAACACAAATAATTATTTATTAGATTACATTTATAAATTCATTATCATTTAAACAATATTGTTAAATATTTAACGATGCCTCTGTATCTAGCTGTAATTAAAAAAGAGTGGCTGTGAGTTTTTTTGCCCTTTCTTCTCATAAGGCGGCTCAAACGGCACAGGCATATAATGGATTAACTTCTTTATGCTAAATATTTGAGAAAACAGATTGTTGCTATTGTCTGTGTTGATTTATGACACAAATGAGCAGACGGGTCACCTGATGTAAAGTGATAAAAAATTTCAAATAATTTTAATTCTTTGTTTTTAAATAGAGATATTAAGAATTTGATTCACCAAGTTGTTTTATTATGTTCAATTTTGAATGGTCCTGTACTGATCATCTTGAAAATATGAAATACTTATTTGAATTGACAATCAACTAATATTAAAGGTGTGGTCAACATCTCAACAAATTCTTACTTTGAATGTTACATACAAATACAGCATTTCTATATGTTATCATAACAATAACCTCAGACATCTCACTCAAAGCCGTCTAATCCCAAACTAGGCGGAGCCTGTACTTTGGGAACCAGACTGCTGATAAACATACTTATATATTTCTAAATACATATATATTTAAGATTAATTACAGACACCGAACAAATGATCATGCTCATTACACAATTATTTCTCGTGGGTGGGAATCGAACCCACAACCTCTGGCTTAGTAGTCAGGGTTCCTAACACCTAGACCAATGGGCCAATCAAATATGTACATCATCATCATCATCATCAACAGCCTTTAACAGTCCACTGCTGGACATAGGCCTCTCCTTAGAAAGGAGGTTTTGGCCTACTATACCACGCTGGCCAGACGGGTTGGTATAGGGTTTGTTTCAAGTTTTCCTTCTCTCTGCAGTGCTGTAAAATAAATAAAAATTAAAACAAATATGTACTAGTACTTATTAATCATCTTTTTTTTTTATAACGCTAATAAATCATTTTACTATACTCTAACTCTGTAGATAGTAAACTGAATAGCATAATTAAAGCAGTTTTATACTCAAACGACGATTACTTCCCTTCAATCCCAGGACTTTCAATCTTCTAATTTGGTACTTCCAGATACTAAGCTCCATTCAATTGTATATTTTGTGTAATAAGGATAGGGTTTAAACTTGTCTGGCTGTAACTATTGTTCATAACCGAATCATATCTATAATCTATGGAACATACTATTACTATTGGTAAATAACATTTTGTAATAAAAATCACATATTTTTATTACAGAAACTTATTGAACATTATTTGCCTGAGACTATAGTATTTAACACTTTGAGATAAAAGTATCATAATCACGTACCTACTTATATTTAATGAAATCTTTGTTTAATTAATTTTCATAGTATACGTATTCATATACTTACAGAGATAACGGTGGTAAAGGCAGCAACAAAGAATAAAGCCGTTAATTTCACATACATTTTGAAAGATTTTAGAATATGAAACAAATCGTTACAAAAACATCTAAGATTCACGAACTACGACGTTCTAATCTAACAATGTTTTATCTATGAATCTAACATGTTTCAGCCATTTTACTAAAAATAATGTTACTGTGACACAAATTGCGTTGTTGTGTTGCCAGTCTGTAAATTTATGGGCAACTTAGCAATTTAAAACTACTACCTTAAAAGACTATCTTGGTCAGATCTTTAAAAAAACAATTCCAAGGACCTGCTATGCAGAATTTTTGAGAAAAGCGTAAACATTTCGGTCTCATCATTACAATAGTTATTTGTTCTAGTACTAACTGGTTTACGTTTTTACACGCTAGAATGTGAATCTTGACTGAGAAGGTGTTTCCTCTTAACATTGAACATTATTTTTATGAATGTCGAGTATGCTGTGCTACTCTAATACAACAATTTCTAAATTATTGGCGTAAATTTTTGCCCTGGGTTATAAAATCACCCGTTACATGCAAAAGTGTATGAAACGTTTGTGAATGTGAAAGAGGCCCAAGCTGTGTGTCTGGATTATGAAAAATTATGCTCTATCCTTTCTGCTGGCGAGGGGCATGTATGTATGCAGAATCGTGTATATCATACATGCCTTGTTTCCTGAAGTAAATACCTATATTTTGAATGCTATCCGTGTGGTGACGGATTTAGAATACGGTGTGTCATCACCCCTTTTCGTCCCGCAGGTGTCATAAGAGCCGAATAAGGCAGCAAACTGCAAAAAGAAGGAAAACCTAACACAAACCGGGCTGGAACCCCGTCCGACCCGGGGGCAGTGTTCTTGGATCTAATCCGTAGAACAGCCGCCCCCAACTCCGATTCCCTGACGGGCGGAACATCAGCCTCGCTGCCCCCGTCGTCTCCGGCTGATGCAGCCATCGACGGGGGTGTGTGCTCCGCCCTCTGCGGGAATAGGCCCTCGACCACTTCCTGCAGGAAGCTGGGCTGGAGAGTCTCCGTAAGGGGGGGGGCCGACGTGCGGAGCTTTTGACGCACCGCACGATAAGGGCGACCCCAGGGGTCACGCTCGAGACTCTCCAGCATCTCCTCTCTACATGCATCTTTGGCGCGGCAGATGGCCAGCCTCAGAGTTTTCCGAGCTTCTCGGTAATCCTCATGAAGCCGGTCCACCTCCTCACCGACCCCGCGGTGACGTCGCCGACTACGGGTGAGGGACCTCCGGGCACGTACACAGGCCACCACCAGTAGACCTCCTTCCTTGGAGAACCTAACACAAACCCTATACCAACCCGTCTGGCCAGCGTGGTATACTTAGAAGGCCAAACACTCCTTGCTAAAGTTTATTGAAAATAAAAGCTTTTCTCAATACATGAATTACCAATGAATTTATTGTTTTAATTTTCATCAACTGACAGTAACTAAATAGGTATATTTAATTCTCTTTTAAAATATAATCTGATTAATCTGTAAAATAAGGTAAAATTTTACAGATTTTGTAAGGAGATAGAACAGATGCAGATAGAGGTCATTAGAGATAGCACAAAGTGACTTTTCCATTAGTGCGTGCGTGTTGGTTCTGAGTGCCAAATGTATTTACAGGTGTACATTTAATCTTCTCACGGACTAACATTAATTACAGTGTATTTGAATTATTTCTTTGACTTTTGAGAGATAAGACGCTTAAATTAAAAAACTTTTACCTATTTTTCAACTTTTTTGATAAATCAGGTCGATGGGACAAAAAGCACTAAGGCGACGCAATGTTACTGCTCGTAACTCATCTGAAGTTGTGGTGACTTTCACTGTTCCACATGGATACTATGAAAAACCATACCTACTCAATATGATCTAAAGAAGACACGTCGAACTACGGAGTAATTTCTGATCTATCTCTAATCTCGTGGCGATTAGTAAATATAATTATAACTTCTGAATGTCAACCATTGGGCAGAGGACCGCCAGGCATGATTTCCTAGGAATCTCAAGACCTGGTGAGGTCTTGAGATTCCTAGTCTTGTATTGAAGGGACATGACGCATCGTGATATTAACCTAACAGTCCTAAGTCCTTTTTTTTCTCGAACCGACTAAAACCGCACGCCGTCTTGGGTACCAATAGCCGGGGAACCAGGTATACCCTAGAATGGAAGTCCCTGGTGCCCCGACATACCTCGGGCCATCTACAACAACATGTGGGACCCCATGTTCCCTCTGCTCCCTGGAAGCGAGCGCGCTTCGCAACGCGCTCGCCGCCACCCCGGCCTGCTTCTGCTAGGGTGACAGATGGCCTCACCTGTCCCCCCAGGCCTAACAGTCCTAAGTCCTAACACATTTTAACAACAACACACATTGATAGGGACCCCAGTGAATATGTTAACAAATACCAACCTATGTAATAATGTTACGAGCCGGGAATTCGATAAATAAAAGAAAGCGATTAATTAGCAAAATTAGCACTATATTTAGAAACACACACTTTTACAAACAATAACTTAACTTACACACTTACTTACTAACAATAAACTAATAATTCAATAGTCGCACTAGAAGATTGCTAAAGTGTTGATCCGCTGTCTCATACAATAATACTCGCCCGTAACACGCTTTGCTTTTATAGGGCTGCCGCAATAACCAGAATAATCACTAGGATTCGATGGAGCGTTCCGCGTTCCGTTACCTGACACTAGATGGCGCTGCAAGTACCAAAATTATGAATCAAAATCTCAACGTGTAGTGTTCGTTGTCCATTACTTGATTAGTTAGCGCTGTCCTCAAGATTCCATACGGCTCTCGATTGGTCATGAACTCTACACACTTAATCCTATGGTGCAACAATAATGGTAGGACGATTCACGACCATAATAGCTTAACGCTTGATGACGCTCTGTAACTATTAAAACAATTAAAATAAAACCTGCACAAGGGTTTCGTACCTCTAATAAGACATTATACAGTTTATAGGTATCCCTATAGGTGTATCTCTTTTGAGTTCTTCATCGTTCTTGTTGAGAATAGGTACACAACTAATTTGCCATTAGTTAGTGTTTATTGCTGATGAAAACTCCAGTTTTCATCAGCCATTAGTATCTTACCTATCTAAATTCATCTCATATTTGTTTCTTTGATGACGTCGCTTTTGATATACTTACTTATCCCAGATATTGAGCCTGCATTACGAAATAACATGAGATTCTTGTACCTGGCACTTTGTAAATATACTCTAACCCGACGACTCAGAATAACTGTAAAGTCTTACAAATCTTTATGGACATCGCATATACTCTACTGTTACAAAATATTAATTATATTTAAAAATAAACAATGTAAATAATGGTTTTAGTTTAAATAAATTAACTGTCAAGAGCATTAAGTTCTTTTTTGTTATTTTACCTGACTTATAAACTAGATGGCGCTTGGTCATTAATTTAAACTTCAATCAACAGATGTCGTTCCTAGTAGCTTTGAGCATTTTGTCTGGTTAGTTTAATAACACTTTGTATACGAATTACACGCGGTTAAATGAAATAATGTCTGTGTGGTGACGGATTAAGAATACAGAGTATCACCACTCCTATTCATCAAAAGGGTAAGAGCCGACAAAGGGAGCAAACTCTGCAGGACAACAGCACTGCAAAGATAAGGAAAACAAGAAACCAACCCTATACCAACCCGTCTGGCCAGCGTGGTATAGTAGGCCAAAACCGCCTTTCTAAGGAGAGCCTATGTCCAGCAGTGGACCATCAGAGGCTGTTGATGTGATGTGAAATGAAATAAACCCAATATTCTCTGGTTACATGCCTTTACTGCTGCCTACTCATAGAGACTATTTATTGTTGTTTAACCTCCTTAACATGCACACAAATTTTAATTTTTTATTACCTGTAACAGATACTCTATGACTATTTAGAACTTTTAAAGTAATATGTACTTTTTATGATATTGGGGGACAAAGGAACAGGGTTGCCCTTGCGATAAGTACTACTACTGATGATTACTACTGAACAAAAATAGTGTACTTCACTAAGTCCTAATGTTCAAAAGCGCAGTGATTCCATATTACTTAACTCTCGTGTTGGCGCTAATCTGTGCCATGAAACCGCTGAACTAACTTAAAATTAGCGTTAAGTGCCGACTACTTCTTTTTCATAGAGATTAGTTGAATTCTATACCTTTTTTCCCTGTGCGGAACTGTCCTCGGATAGAAACCGCACGCCGTCTTCAGGTAACTGGGGAACCAGGTATAGCATAGAAAGAAAAACCCTGGTACTGTTCAATTGCCCCTAACCTACCTACCTACGCCAGCCTAGCATAAAAAATGTAGTTAATAAAAAAAAAAATTGTAAACAGTAAGACTAATTAATAAACAACAAACATAGTTTGGAATCAAACATCGTCAAAAGTCAAGCCACGAAATCAGCAATTAATCCCAGTACGGGAGACGGAACAATCCCTCATAATCCAGTGCAATCTCCGAGCAATTGCGACCTTAAAATAACAGCATTTGAACAAGCCAATAGAGCGCGCTATAAAAAATTAATTACATTTTTAATCTACAAAAATGCGAACAGAAGGTGGATTAGACGGATGTTGTGTATCTAGATGTGCCATTATTGCGAACGTTTTTTAAATTTTAATAAAGAACACATTTTTCCATAGAGATATAGATATTAAAAAAAACCTTTTAAAACGGGTGCATTAGTATAGCCAAGTGTAGCCAAGCCACCTGCTTAGTCGTGGAGCACTCCCAAACATCTCGTGTTTACAATTTTGACGTCATTTGTCAACTTTGCAATAGTTTACCTATGATATTTGCGTTTCATTTTATAGGTCTGTATTAGAAATAAAAATTGATACTACGTCGGGGTTCTTTAATTCGGTTTCCGTGTTTTCTATTAACATTCTTTCTTTGCATCTAGATAACACTGTGTGACCCGTTTAACAATATTATATTTTATTGAAAAAGTTTTTTTTTAGAAAATTTATGACTTTTATGACTAACAAG